CTACACCATGCAAAAAACCATTTTCAAAAAGCGTCCCACGCCCTGGAAGACCTTCCTTGTCAGCTCGCTTCACCATCTTCACTGATGACGCCGAGATTAAGCACACCCCAGAGCTGTGTCGAGATTGTTACTATCAAAGATAGAACCTAGTTTTAAGAAATGAAAAATGTCTTCATCGCGCAGCAGTTAACCACAGAATAGTACAAAAGAGGCGAAGAATGTATTTAGAGATGTACAAGGCTTTAAAAAATCTTAAATTCAGGGATTCGACGAGAATGTGGGGACAAAAGTTGCCTCGAAGTCGTGGCTGTTCATATGCAACTTCTACAGCTTACAGAACACTTACAACCCTTCTAATTCGGGTCTGTACGTCGGCTAAGCCTGTTGGCCCTTATTACGCCGTATCTTGACTGTTTTTCGACCCAGCAGTTCCCTTAGATTTTCGTTGGGAGTCACAGGTTCACCCAAAGGATAGAACTGAGGAACCATTTTTGACGCGAACTGTGCCTCCGAAGACATCACGAGCAAAAGGAGCAATGTATGAGGAGACAAGGGGCACTGCTTTCCTGCTATTGAAGAATTAACTAGGGAAAACAACAAGAATCAGCGAAATGCTGTTCTATCGATCCTGCCCACAGCGGTACAGAATTGAATGTAGGCAGGCGATAAGGAGTGAAGAATCGAATTGCCAGTATACCTAAGAAAGATGGGCTGAGTGGTTGCTTTCATAGTTGACGATTTGGCGAGCGACCGATCGCGGACTATCGTGGACTATGAAAGCAGCCAGTCACCTCGTACGCAGCGGTGTTTGACCATATTTCTGAATGACAACAGGAAATGAACTCCAAGAGGCACGTAGACCTCGATTTCACTCAGCCATTCGATGTAGTTCATATAAAATTGAGGAAGTTGTGAATAAATTTATATCTATACTTTCATAACACACAACAACGGGATATCGATTATCACAGGAATGTTGTCACAAACATCGTATGATTTCGGCACGCAGTAAGTCGTTTTTCGAGGATTCGATTTTCCTGAAACTACTTGGATTGACGGCAAAGCTAGTGATTCCCACTGATGACGGTGCGACCCGCTACTAGGCGTTAAAGCTCACCAACCACCACATAATTTTTAGAACCCTACCGTGCGATTTTTCGTAAGCACGCAGCTCACACCGTCTAAACAGAGAAACGCTTTCGGACCCCAAAATTGTTACTAAATGCAAGTCTATCGTTTTTTACCTGCTTCAGGGTGTCGACAAGGGTTGCTTGACTAATGCCCGTCGCTTTGTTGTCATGACAAATGGCCCTGAAATAAGTAATAAGTGAAAAAGTTGGTGGGTTACCGATTAAATCAACTATTTTTACCTGGCATCATCGACCTGTCCTATAATGGCTTTCGCTTCTTGGAGCTCCTTTCTAAGTCGTCTTTGTTGTTCACGAAGGCTATCGGCCTCTCGACCAAGACCAAGCCTCTTAAATGGAGAACGATTAGGATGGGAGCACCATCGTTTGAAGGCTAAAGATAAGCTAACTGGAGACCACACCTTATCCACAGCTTTTCTTTGGTCGAATCGGGAATCTTTACACAGATCTGGAAGGCACAATGTTAACAATGGACTAAAGCGAGTCAATCATTTTACACCGTCAGCTCACAATGGCGGTTACTTACAGTATGCTGAGTGGTAGTCACCAGCAGCGGACTCATAGCCAGAAGACGCTGAATAGCTCTGACGTTTCTTCTCACGACACTGCGATGCCGCGTCATCAGAACCTCGGCCACTACTTGGTGGGCCGTCGACCAACCGCGGGTCTGTGACCTGCAAGAAATAAATTTACCATCAAACATGCTCTCCAACAGATGACACTTTTATTTTCGACCTTTAAAAATCAGAACCAGACCGGAAGGGGTATAAGGTGAAAGCCCAGGAATAATCCCTCGACCTCAACTTCACCAGGTTATGAATCTTCTAGATATTGCTACAAAAATGGTGATTTGCTTCCGTTGAAGAAAAAACACAAAAATCTCCATATCGAGGAACTACCAGCCTCAAATCCGCTCAACTATACCCCCCCCCCCCCCCCCCCGCTGTCATTCCCACCCTTTCGCGGTTGACAACTGGCCAACCCAGAGCTTAATTTCAGTTGGGGGCCATTGATACTATGACTCATAAGATTTAATTCCACGCAATGCTTGTTCTGCAGCGGCGAATTCGTTTAGGTCAACGGAATCCAATCAAACAGAGCAATCAACTGATGGTTGCGCGAATGCTGATCATATGGTTGGCCTCCCATTGGGTTTGATTCTTCAGAAAGTTGATCGCTCGGTGGTTTTCAGTTGGGGCTGGGATTTTCATTCGGAAATTTCATGACAGTCCCACTTCACCAAAACCCGTCCTCAACTCAAGAAAATGCGGGGAACTTCTCAATTCCATTCTTTGCATCAGTCCGTTATAGCCTGCATCACTCGTTATCACTAATACAATTTGCAAAGTGAGACCCCATGTGTAATTCAAACTGCGACCTCTCTCTGTTGTATAAGAAAGATTTGTTCAAACAAGAGCCAGCTCGCTGAGAACTGATTTGAATAGAAAGCCTTTGACAAAAATAGTTGTCCACACGATTACGCTTTTCAAGACTTTCAAGACGTAGCACGTCCTCTCTCTACTTTTAGTCAATGGAATCCTAGAATCAAGTCTACAACTGCGCTCATTTCTTCCCTAGTAGGGATATGGCTGAGAAAACCTTCGAAGGTACTTCGAAGGTAAGAAGATAGAATCGTTCTGTAGAAGAGGCAGTGGCGGGCAACTTACCCACTCACGGCCATCTGAGAGGGGAACGTACAAATTTCGACCACTTTTCAGTAGTAGAGGGCTTGGATGTTTACAGCCAAGTGTTGTCGACTACTCATGTGTGGAGCATGCGGTTTGTCTCTGAGAGCATCGCTCAAATCGCCTTCAGCCATGAGCGCATGTCAGCTATTAGCGACCAGTTCGGGGACGATCTTTAAGCGAAATATCAACGGTCGAGAGCTCTGCGAGGTAACCTCTGGATGTGAACGGTCGGCTGCTTTGTTATCTTGGAGGACCCATAGCACATGCACGCCTTTGCTTGGCCANTCCATCGGTGGATAATACCGAGACACGAGCGCTCGCTCTATTGTGGGATTTTTCAAGAACATTCTAGTGTACCCTACTGTCGAAATATTCTAATCTAAAGCCTATAAAACTGCGGATCAAAGAATAAGTTCTGACGCAAAACTTCCGGAGCAATCTAGCGCCGCTAGTCAGCCATTGGAAAAGTGTGTCACTCGAATACCGTACAGCATTCTTCTGAAGACTCATAAAACCACTAAACATTGACCGATTTCATTCAAAAAACAAGCAATTACCTTAGAATATGGCGATGGAAATGTCGTTTTTTCCTTTCGACCCTCTTCGGAGACCTTGCGCTCCCGCCGATCCGTGCGTGGCTTACTGAAAACAGAAGAGACGAATTTGAATAGAATTCCTTAGATTAAAATCCTGATGGTGGTACCTTGATATCGACCAGAAATTACCTGCATCGCCGGACATGAGTCCCATCGACCCAGTGTGCCTTAATTATACCATTTTTAGCATGATGTGATGGTGACGGCAACGTCGGAGCGGCGCAGTTCGTTAAAGACGGAGTCCTAAAGTCAAGATGCCCTAGTAGTTGGAAGGAGACTCAGCTCGAAATTGCAAACCTTGCAGGTGGTGCACCAAGCTGCTTTTTGTGAACAGTCGGTGTGGTGGGTAGTGAATCTGAAGGTGCTCGGCTTGCTTTGTGACTGAAATCATTCATAACTTTTTAGCATATCAATTAGACCAGATAAAAGTTGATTACCTCGGCTTCGATACCAGGGCTAATCCATGCAGCTGTTGACTGATCTGACGAGCGATCGCCAACGGCAATGAACGGCCGTTGAGTTCCTAAAGAGTCACAACGCATGAGCCACTGAAAGATCCTCAGAAATTGAAAACGGACCTTATCGATCTGTTCTTTTTCCCTGCGAATTTCATCAGCTTCATGTTTCAATTCTTCACGTCTCTTTCTCAACTCATTCTTCCTCTTTTCTAATTCCTCCTTTTCTTTCTCAGCAATCCTAAAACAGTGCTGATTTTATTGAATCCGCTCTAGTCCAATGTCCCAGTGAACAGGACCGCAACGGTGAGACGCAATTATGAGCATTTCCTAGTTTAAAAGGAGGGGATGTTGGCAGAAGATGCTACATCACTGTGTGCTCACGTGCGTGTTAACAGGCAACATTTATCTCAACGACAGATTTTCAAGAGCGTGTGAGATGAGGAGGAGATTCAGTGACACAAGAAGAATAAGTGCGGCAGAGAACTACTCAAAAGGCGATTTAGCAAAATTTCAATCGAAAAGCGAGTAGATTTCATTAGAAAATGTTAAAAGTTTGAAAGGAAATGGTCGACCGTTTCACCGAGAAGGACTGAAACCAAATACTTTGATAAAATCAGTAGTCGCCTTTTTGTTACCTTCGGCTTTCAATGGCATTCCAGTCGACAATCGTGCTACCCGATGACATCATCGAATTTTGGCAACAGTTCAAAATCAATTTACTTCTCTTCTTCTTCATTTTATCGTCGTCCAATTCCTGCAATAAAAGACCTTGAGGATTAGCGAGGAGTTGGCACACAGAAATGTCTGGGAAGATGTCTACTTTCAGGGCTGAGTTACTACCCGGCGAAAGTTAGGTACTCAGGAGAGCGTATAGTTGTGACTGACGTTGGATTCGCAACACCTGTCCACTGGTGTTGCATGACGCCAAAGAAAATGTCAAACAAACTCAGTCGATTATCGATTGGATGGCTTGAGGCCTGAATGTGATCAGCATATAACAATCGCTATCACTTGGTGTTATCTCACAATACATTGGGCTCACTCACTCTCACTTCGACAGGTGGGCTGATGAAACCCCGGTTGCCAGCCATTGGGCGAAAATCCCATGGTAATGAGCATTTGATTCTTCTTTTGATTCTTTCCATACTATCTCCTCTTTTCGTTGGCTCATTGCAGCTATTTCTAACCAAAATGATCATGAAACGTCTGGTCAGTTGCCAGTAAAGGTGAGACCCTTGGTATAACCACCCACAGATGCTGGCTAAGGATGGGAGCATCTCTCAGAGCGCAGTATGAATGATCAATTTTCACATGAGGAAAAGTCGAAACAGATATATAAGACAATCTCTACTGGCAATCACTACTCAGTTCATTGAAAACGCCCCTCTCACCTCAATCACATGACTATTCGATAATAAAGTATCTTCACAGAAGGGGTCAACTTATGCCGACCCAATTGTTCCCCACCCGAACATCATTGATACTTCCTGACAGCTAGATGTATCCAACCTTACCGCACTCCTGATCGGCAACTAATTGAAATGTCGTCGAACTCAAAGATTTTGTGCAGCGAATTCCGATTGAACTTCAATGTTCTGATTTTTCTCATCGAAAATTCACTTCTACTATTGACATTTTGTACTCCTTGAGTTTATCGACGATTCATTCCTTTGGGATAACACTACGGTACGGCTTAACACTCCATAATGGTTCCGCAGGTCAATTTTTTGTTCAGCTACCGATTGAAATGCGTAGATGCCACATAGGGCGACGAATTGCGCGACAGTTTCGGTTTTAGGAAATATTGAGAACATCACAATTATGCTATTGAAGGAACACACCTTAAGCTTCTCAACTGCGTAATTCTCCAGATGGCTGGCTCGTCGGTACAGATCCATCTCACTCGGTGTTGCCGTGGAAGTGACGGTTGCCGTAAGCGAAGCGTCTTTCTAAAATCACACCAAATAATTTTAGCTCGGTAATCTTCCCACAGGTGGATAGGGAATGTTTACAGCTTCTATTTCAGGCATTTCAATCGTTTTTCCCAAACAACAATTAGCCAAAAAGGGAAATGGGAAAGGCCTCACCCTTATAGGATGCTTCACTTTGACATGACGACAAAAAGATTGTAAAGCATAATGTCTTTTTGTCTCAACAACATGTACTGGTATTCAATAAATAGCCAGATATTCATTCCAACTTAAGGGAATGTACTCGAGAGTCGAGGGATCAGCAAAAGAATGAATTACAGTATGCTTGGGATGAGCTCATTCTGAAGGGCTTGTGACAGAATATCACTGAGATTCGGTCAATACTAAATTGCTACCGTTCCTTGGCAGTCGTTGGAACATCTCTACATGAATGAACTCGTGGGCTGGGAATTATCAACAGCCATTGTCCTATGCGGTTCAAGCTTAAGATGGGATTGCTCATTTTGAGAGCACTATTTGAAGAAGTTTCCAAACGGCACTTTCCAAAATAGAGATCCTTTGAAGCACTCCAAGAATGTATGCGGCCCCTCGAATTATGGGATTTAAGTTCCATTTAGTTTTACCACCCCTCTCTAATATCACACGGCTGGACACATCCCTCGGCCGGTTTTGTCGTTTGTTATTATGCTGCATTACGCATTCAACAGATCATGTTACAATCTGTTTGGACCTTGATTATTCAG